CTTCAGCTTATGTCCAGTTCCCTATTTGTCTCTCATCTGCATTCGTAACTTCAGGGAGTGATATTCTTCCTATCCCCATTCTGATTACTCTACATTTTGTCTGATTCATTTGCATTAATTAGTTAAACAGAGGCATAAGCAGAAGGGTCAATGACATGAGGAGAACACAGGGCCCCCAAGTAATTAAGCAGGCCTCATGCTCATAGGGGATCACAGAGATTGAAGCTACCATCACATGGCCTACATGGGTCTGCACTAGCTCCTCTGAATAGATGTTACATTCCTGTAGCTTGGCATTTCTGGGGGACTCCTAACAACGGGATTGGGTGTGTCTCTGTGTCTTTTGCCTGCTCTTGGGTCTCTTTTTCTCCTATTGGGTTGTATTGTCTAATCCTTTTTCTTAAATTTTATTTTATTTTATTAATTACACTTTATTCACTTTGTATTCCCCCATAAGCCTCTCCCTCCTCCCCTCCTGGTCCCACCCTTCCTCCCCCTTCTTCATGCATTCCCCTCCCCAAGTCCACTGATAGGAATGATCCTCCTCTCCTTCCTTCTGATCTTAGTCTATCAGATCACATCCGGAGTGGCTGCATTGTCATCTTCTGTGGCCTGGTAAGGCTGCTCCCCCCTCAGGGGGAGGTGATCAAAGAGCAGGCCAATCAGATTATGTCAGAGGCAGTCCCTCTTCCCATTACTATGGAACCTACTTGGACACTAAACTGCCATGGGCTACATCTGTACAGGGAATCTAGGTTATCTCCATGCCTGGTACTTGGTTGGAGTATGAGTCTCTGGGAAGACGACTCTGTTCAAATTTTCTGGTTCTGTTGCTCTCCTTGTGGGGTTCCTGTCCTCTCTAGATCTTACTATTTCCCACTTCTTATATAAGATTCCATGCACTCTGCCCAACAGTTGGCCATAAGTCTCAGTATCTGCTTTGATATTCTGCAGGGCAGAGCCTTTCAGAGGCCCTCTGTGGCAGGTTTCTAGGTTGTTTCCTGTTTTCTTCTTCTGATGTCCATCCTCTTTGCCTTTTGGGATGGGGATTGAGCATTTTAGTCAGGGTCCTCTCTCTTGATTAGTTTCTTTAGATGTACAGATTTTAGTAGGTTTATCCTATATTATATGTCTATATGAGTGGGTATATACTGTGTGTGTCTTTCTGCTTCTGAGACAGCTCACTCAGGATGATCCTTTCCAGTTCCCACCATTTACCTGCGAATTTCATGATTTCCTTATTTTTCATTGCAGAGTAATACTCCATTGTGTAGATGTTTCACAATTTCTGCATCCATTCTTCAGTTGAGGGGCACTTGAGCTGTTTCCAGCTTCTGGCTAATACAAATAAGGCTGCTACAAACATGGTTGAGCAAATGTCCTCTTTTGAATATATGCCTAAGAGTGGTATGGCTGGATCTTGAGGAAGCACTATTCCTAGTTGTCTGAGAAAGCGCCAGATTGCTTTCCAGAGTGGTTGTACAAGTTTACATTCCCACCAGCAGTGGAGAAGGGTTCCCCTTTCTCCACAACCTCTCCAGCATGTGTTGTCACTTGAGTTTTTGATCTTGGCCATTCTGATGGGTATAAGGTGAAATCTCAGGGTCGTTTTGATTTGCATTTCCCTAATGGCTAATGAGGTTGAACATTTCTTTAAGTGTTTCTCTGCCATTCGATATTCCTCTACAGAGAGTTCTCTGTTTAGCTCTGTTCCCCATTTTTTAATTGGATTACTTGGTTTGCTGCTTTTCAGCTTCTTTAGTTTTTTATATATACTGGATATTAGCCCTTTGTCAGATAAAGGGTTGGTGAAGATTCTTTCCCAATCTGTAGGCAGTCATTTTGTTATGATAACAGTGTCTTTTGCTTTACAGAAGCTTTTTAGTTTCATGAGGTCCCATTTATTGATTGTTGCTCTTAGAGCCTGTGCTGTTGGTGTTCTGTTCAGGAAGTTGTCTCCTGTACCAATGAGTTCTAGGGTTTTCCCCACTTTTTCTTCTAACCAATTTAATGTGTCTGGTTTTATGTTGAAGGGCCTTTGCCTTGCCTTATATTATTTTGTCATGCTTGGTTGTTGTCTCTTGAAGGCCTGCTTATTTATGAAGGGAAAGGGAGGGGGAATGGATTTGGGGGACAGGGGAGCTAGGGGGTGGATGTGAGGAGTAGAGAAAGAGGATGTATTGTATTGTATGACCGAATAATCTATTTTCAATTAAAAAAATAAAAGATTTTGGGGAAAAGAAGAGTCTTGATGAAGCCCATAGGGTCACTCTGGTCAGTGACCCTTTCCCCCAGTGGACACAGTTGTAGATCTTGGGCTCAGTCCTTTTTTTTTTTTTTAAACTAGGCCTGAATTTTATCATGGTTGAAGATTGAAATATCATCATTAAAGTAAAATCAAACAAGGAACCAAGCAAGCAAGAGCAACAAGTTAGCAACTGCAACATTAAGCAAAAGTTTAAAAAGGATTAAGAGAGGAAAATCTACTAGTGGACTTAGCTTATTCAGTGTTCTCTGCTGAGTGATTCTTTCCAGGTGAATTATGAAAGAACTGCAATTGCTTGCCTCCTTGGCGACTTTGGTTTGTTCCAAAGCTATTAAAAATGTATAGCTCCCAACTTTCTCCACAGTATAATTTGAGACCTAAGCACACAGCTCTCAAAGGAGGCATAATAAACAAAGCCAGTGTGGTCTGTGCTTGGAGGTAAGAGAATCATGCCTCATATAGCAATGTAATTTCTTCTGTAGAATCAAAGGTGTCTTTATAGACATCTTGCATGTGGGCTTTCAAGGCTGTTTCACAGCTGTTTCCCGAAATCATCACAAGTAAAGCATGAACATGTGAAGAGTTAAGTAAGCCAAGTGGGGAACAGTTGTTACAGTTCACATCTTTCTCGTTAAGTGTCACTGGGCAATGTGTTTCCCTACACCTGGGTCATTCTCTCTGTGGCTCTTTTCCTAGGCACCTTTGTTTTACCTTCAGCAGTCATTGCTTCCTGACTCAAGGCATCTTTCACCAAAGATCATTGTTACGCATTGTGTCATGCACTTAAGACGCAGGTGTAAAATAAAAGGACCTAGACTAGAGAGAAGATGGCATTCTCTTTGTGTAGATGACACAGGGTTTTTAAAGTAAAGGAGATTAGAGGCTTATTCCATTGTTCCTCCCAGTGTTCAGAAGAGATTTGGGGATGAGGAAATTCAGGAAGAATTCTCAATATGAATTGCCTTCAGGGATCACCACAAAAGAGACCCCACCACATTAGCTAGCACTTACTGACCACTGTTAACAGAGGAGCCCACTTACTTTGTTTTTACCACTGGGTAAATTTACTAACTTTTTAAATTTCTTCTGCTCTACAGTAATGATCATAGGTTTTCTTACTTCAAAATTATTTGAGGTTCATTAGATATCTAAAGTGCTTAAAATAGGGACCAGGACCTATTCAAGACTTTGTGCTCACAACTCCACACTAACAACAGTGAGGATGAAAATGGTGGCTATGAATGGCCTTCTCCTTGTAGGGCAGTAGTTCTCATCCTGTGGGTCACAACCCCCTTGGGGGAGGTATCAAATGACCCCTTCACAAGGGTCACTTAAGACCATTGGAAAACAGATATTTCCTTTACAACTCAGCACTAGCAAAATCACAGTTATGAAGTAGCAACAAAATAATTTTATGGTATGTGTGGGGTCACCACAGCATGAGGAGCTGTATTAAAGAGTTGTAACATTGGCAAGGTTGAGAACCCCTGCTGCAGAGCAACTGAAGACTTTATTTGCTCTGGATGACTTTTGACTATGTGTTTAAACAAAAACCATTCCCCCAAAGACTCAGATTTCCACCATGTAGACCATCAAAAGGCGTATTCTAAGACCTATATCGAGTTATGAAAGGAGGGTGCCATGGTGTCTTGAGCAATGAAGCAGCCTTGGGGTGAATGTCAACATTCTCAGACAGTCACTCTGAAAAAAGCCCGTCTCTGTTGCGTATATATTGCATGGCTTAAAAAACTGTACAATCTGTACAATTTGTACTTGTTTCTCCCGTGTAGATATGCCTCTCGAAGATACTTTACTTTTCCATAACATTCTGCATTGTATTTGAGAAATTGCAGTTGCTCATCAGGTACTGTGACTGGACTCGTGGATAGAAGTGGGGAGAAGAATTAGGAAATGAGGCGCAAACTGCTCTCCCACTTACAGTCAAGTTTGTATCGTCCTGTCTTTTTCTGCAGCTTCTATGAAGTGCTTCAGTAGGCATTTATCACTGGGGTCTTTAAAAAGTTGTCAGTTTTACGGACCTCAAAATTTTCATGAAGAGTCTGCCGCAGGATTTTCCGTTTTTATTGTTATCTTCAAATGAGTGTTACTGCAAAGGCAAGCCCGTGCCCATCACACATCATACAATTTCTGAGGCAAACAGAGATCTAGAGCATCCCGAACACTACCCAGAACACGGTAAATTGTTGAGGAACGAATGGATCATTGCACGTTCACTCCAGCCCACGGCAGAAGACACTGGCAGAACAATTCGCTAATGGTCACATGGTGACCTGGGAAGTACGATGACTGTTTCTTGATGTCCCTGTGCTTTAATTAGTGATGTCATGTTTAGATTGTACTGTGAGAGTGACTCTCAATTTAGTCCTTGAGTGACTTTAAAAGGTGCGACTATATCAAATTCCTAGGTTAATATCTGTTACCTCATAGGAAGGCAGTTGTAAAAACATGTTCATACAAGTCAAAAGATTGATTTACAAGGCAGCTAATTTAAAATGTCTGTAAGTGGCTTGTTCAAGGTGTGTCAGGTGATCCATTTCCTCTGCCCCTGCCGTAAGCTTTCTCCCCCTCTGTATGCATACACTACCAACGACTTTTAGTTGGAACAATGTGTCTCCCCTGGGACAGAACCCATCCCTTCTCTGGGTTTCTTGAATGGTCAAGCAATATCTGTTATAACGTTTGAGTCTTTTTTTTTTTTCTGTTGTTTTTACAGGACGGAAAAACAGAGTCGAGTTCATGCACCTGTTTGAAGGGGCCCAAACTCTCAGAAATAGGCACAATTGCCTGGATGATCACACTCTGTGACGCCCTCCACAATTTCATCGACGGCTTGGCCATCGGGGCATCCTGTACTCTGTCTCTTCTTCAGGGACTCAGTACTTCCATAGCGATCCTGTGTGAGGAGTTTCCTCATGAGTTAGGTGAGAGCCTGTGGTCACAGGGCAAAGAGGTGACCGAATCCTAGACTAGGGAAACCCCTGCTCATCTACTGCGAGGCATGACCTGTTGTTAGAAGTTGTTGTTGCTGTAACTCTCCTTCCCGAACAAAGGGAAACGCAGCTCATTCGCTGTTTCCGTCTCGTAGGGGACTTTGTGATCTTGCTCAATGCGGGCATGAGCACTCGACAAGCCTTGCTGTTCAACTTCCTTTCCGCGTGTTCCTGCTACGTTGGGCTAGCTTTCGGCATTTTGGTGGGCAACAATTTTGCTCCAAATATCATATTTGCACTCGCTGGAGGCATGTTCCTCTACATTTCTCTGGCAGACATGGTAAGATTGCAAGTATTTTATCTTGTGTTAATTTGACTTTTACAAAAGAGCGTCTGGGTTATGAGTTGAAGGACAGCCTTTGGCTTCCTAACATCTTCAAGGTCCTGACCGGCAATTCACACTTTGTGAGTAGCTTGGGCCAGCAGTAGCTTGGAATGACTGACTTTGTTTTTTTGGTGTCTGATCTTATGGACAGTGATGAAATAAAACTCTTTTGAATAGAGTGGGGCTGTTTCTCAAGGCATCCTCTTACTGTGTGATGAATCAAACGTGGCTTCTGTTATAGTAGGTTCTTGTAGGCCTGACTTCTCTCTTGATAAGGATGTTACATTTGGAAGAATAAATAACTTCATTTTTTATTCAAAGTGGTTCAGGGTGAACTCTTTTGAAGTTAAGCTAAAACTATTATACTAAATTAACTAAAAATTAAAAATTGACAATATTTATTTGGGTCAGTGTGTATTTATACATCTGCAGGGGTATGCCTGTGAGTGTGTATGTGTGTATGTGTAGAAAAAGGGCCTGTGTGTTTTCAAGCACATCATGGCCAGTTTCCTAGAAAATGATGTGTTAAGAATATGAAAATCAAAGAGTATTTGGTTTGTATCTTGAAGTTAATGTACGACATATAATAAGCTAACATCTCTCCTCCGTATTACAAGCTCCAAATTCTGAGTGTCTGGTTCAGTTCACTGTTCAGTGTAGACCCTTGGAAAAAGCAAGGATTTGGCTCCTAGAAGTTATGCTTAATGTTTTCTCTTCAGAATAACGCTGTACACTGTCTTCTCTGCAGACAGTGGAAGAAAGGAGTAGCTACTTCTTCCCATGACGTAAAAAAGAGTCTTCTAAAGTTGGTCTCCTCACCGGAGCCACACAAGCGATCTTGTCTATGACACACTAGCTTCCTCACTTTAGAGCCGCACCCGTCTTACCCCAGTAAGACCTTCACACGAGTCCTCTGGCTTCATGGCTACATGCAGGGTACCACCACATACGTAACAGGTCCTACCAAAATGTGTCTCTAAAACGTGATGTGCATGCCCCCTGAGTAGCCTTCACAGCGGACGCCATTGCTGAGGAACAGCACATTTCTTTCCGCGTTTGCCAAAGCACCTAGGATTTTATTCGTTTTTCACTATAATGAAAGTATTATAAAAATACACCATTTATTAAAAACCTAGTCGTCTCGTGAGGCTGGAGCAAGCACACAGAACAAACTGGAGAAATAAAGAAGTGACTAAAGTTCAAGGGCATCATCAGCTAAGCATCGAGTTGTAGGCCAGCCTGGGCTAAACGAGGAACAGCGAAATAAAACACGCCATACAGGCGACGGAGTGTTTACAAGTAATTTAAAAGTACTATGAAATAAGAGCAAGTGTGGTATTTATAAAGGGGGATTGGAGGAGGGACTAAAGGAAGCACCCAGGAATGTGCGCCTGAGGGTGAAACCTGAAGGGTTGAAGCCTTTAAAATGTGCGGTGTAGACAGTGGCATGCGGGAAGAGAGTCAAAGGGAGACCGAATCAAGCCAGATACTTCTCATCTGGCTGTGTGGCTCACGTGACCATTTCAGTTTTTTAACTCTGAATGCCCCCAAAGTACTAGAATTTCCTCATAACCAGACCTGAACCAAAGCACTGATACGACCGAAATGAACGTGCATTTCCTCTGTTTCACCACAAGATGGCGACAGCTATTTAATAATGTGTCTTCTAGTTCCCAGAGATGAACGACATGCTGAGAGAAAAAGTAACTGGAAGGAAAACGGACTTCACCTTCTTCATGATCCAGAACGCAGGCATGCTGACTGGATTCACGGCCATCCTGCTCATCACGCTGTATGCAGGAGATATTGAATTGCAGTAGCAGGAAGTGGAACATGATGTTAATGAAGGAAGGCATTAATAAACAACAATGCAAAAACATCTCCAAAGGGATTTTTTAAAAAAGTGTATCCTATTTAGTTGAAAGAAAAGTATATTTTTTAACTAGAGGCTAAGGAATCTAATGACTAGTTTCGGATATGTAAAATAGGTAAACTTTGTTCTTTAAAAATGTCTTTGATAGGTTTTCGGTTTCAGTCTGAAGTGACTGGTGTATGAGGCCTTTGGTATGTATATATATGGTTGTTAGTGTTTATGCATATTAGAAAATTCTCATGAAGCAAAACACAGGCGTTCCCCAGCAGACATACAGACCCAGAGAAAAACACCAGGCTTTAGAACTTGGTTGGGTAAAAATAATTCAAGTGCTTTCAGAGTGGTTTTCTTTCAATTAATGTGTTCTACTGCTCTTAAAGGCAGGTGCGTCAAATGTGGGGGAAAATCCAAACAGTTCCAGTGCATATACGAACGATTATTCCAAGGCCTTAATGAACCCCAGGAAGAGAGATTGCTCACTCTGCTTGTTCAGTTTTATATCTCAATTAGCGACTTGTGGGATTGCTTTGAAAGCTATTCCAAAGTAACCCAAATTAGGAAAGCATGAAAAGCTTGCTAGCCCTGTGAAGCCTGGGCTTGGGTTTGTCCTTGAATGTAAACTTGATCAGACTCCATAAAAGGCCAGAGGTGCTTTGCATTGGCTTGTGTTGTGGCTCTAGCCCTCGGAAATGGTGGAGGAGTATGCAAGACTGGTCAGAACTCAGTCTCACCACGCTCTGGGATTGCTTTGAGGTGGTGAAGAATACATTGGGTGGGAGAAAGAAATTGAATGTAATTTTGAACAATTTACTTTTTAAGGATGAGCATAATTATTTAGCAGGGAAATTTTCAATAAATGCAAAATAACAGCTGGGCTGTGCCGTGTCAGAGACTGACAACTATGGAAACGTGCTCATTAGGGGTGATTGACAATCAGTCGGAAACATTTTCTTTTATGTTCAGCATGTTTTTCTTTTTTTTCCTCCCATATGGTATACTTTTGGAAAAACCCAGCATACTGTGGTTGTTTTTCTACCTTTTGTAAAAGATAGAGCTTATTGAGTTTTTGAGCAGGTAGTAGACAATTAGTCTGATTTGAACATCCCAATCTCAATTTACACTCCCAAGTAGCTTAAAAAAAGATGACTTGCCAGTGATGAAAATTATTAACAGAAACCCACAGTTATCTCAGGAATTATATTTTCCTACAAGCCAAAAAATGTTCATACAATAACAATGCATATTTATCAGACTTTAACATACGTTTATGTATATTTCACTCTATGACTGACAATTGAAAAATATTATTTGACCAAATAGTAAACAGTTTTGAAGCCATGTACTGTGTCTGTTAATTTTCTTTTAATATGTCCCTATTTTGAGTGACTATCATGTACCTCGTGTTATGGGGGAGAGAGACAAATGGGGAATTGACATATTGTTTATTTCAAAAATATCTAGCAATAAATCCTAGAAAGATTATTTTTCATTTCAATAAACGTAATCTATATATTATTTCATCTTTTTGTACTTGTTCTTAATAATCCTTGCTCTTTAAAAGTCTAGGTGGTATGTATTTTTAAAGACATCATTTATGGAACGATATTTTAAAAAAGATAGTTTAGTGTTCTTCATTGTAATGGAATTCCTGCTCGGATGGAAGGATGGAAAGGCTTCCTGGGACTCAGGAGCCCAGGAACCACACAGCTCGGAGAGGAAGCCTCCTCAGCAGAGGCATTGCAGCCCTGAGCGAGGCGATTCCAGGCTGAGCTGGAGTGATAAAGTGTAACAGCTTCATCACTCCTCTTCTTCAGTATGGCAGCTCCAGAGGAGGGTATCCTCAGTTGAGCTGAGTTGCTTAGGAACCGCATCCCTGCTCCATTTCTTTGCTGCTTTGCTACTTGGGTTCTTATGACAGAGCCACACCAGGCAGCAAATCTCACTAAAGACATATGTTGGGAGGGACGAATCCAGGGTGGCTGCTTCTGCTCCGGGAGAAGACAGCTGAAACTAAACAGTAGGCAGGGCTTATATAGGGTTTCTTAGGGGACAACTTTCCAGGGCAGAGATTTCCAGGTGAGGATTGGTGGGATTACAAGTCCTGGGCTTGAGGAGCTCGGGGATTGGTGGGTTTTCCTGTCAGAGATGGATGGATGGAGTTTTCTTGTAGGGCAAGCTCTGGGCAATCTCCTGCCTCTGGGCAGTGTGTGTGTGTGTGTGTGTGGGGGGGGCTGGGAATGACAGTTACAGCCATTAGAAAATGGGTCCTTATGATACATATATAATGGATGGGCAGCTTGGTCTTCATGTCGGTCCCCTAGCAAGTGGAGGGGAGGGGTGGGTCATATCCGACACTGACACTTTTCGATCACTTTCCCCTAGCTGGGCTGCCTTGTCTAGCCTCAGTGGAAGAGGACATGCTTAGCTCTGATGCGACTTGATGTACTGGGGTTGGGGGGGTTTGTATGTGAGGGGGCTCTCCCCTTTTCTAAGGAGAAGGGGAGGGGCAAAAGGGGAAAGAGGATGGGAGGAGAGGAGAAGAGGGGGCTACAATTGGGATGTAAAATGAATACGTGAATAAATTTAATAAAATTTAAAATAAAAAGAAAGAAATTGGGCCCTTAGGGAAGTCTGGGGGGTGGGGTGGGCCTGGGCCCTGGAGCTCCTCAGGTGGAGGCCTGGCCACTTTCGTGCCTTGAGGGTTTACAAAGTTTGTGAAGTACACGAAGTTTCCAAAGGGAGTCCGTGGCAAGGAGTCAGCGTGAACACCAGCACGCCGTACATACGGAGTGTCTGCTGACTTTTTATGATTGGGCTTTCCATCAGTTTCCCTTATCATATAGAACAAAGGACACTGGGTGATGATGACTTAAAAGCAGAAGACAATTGCTTGTTGGAGGTAGAAGGAAAGCCGTGAAGGCATTTATCCTGGTTAACTTTTCTTCAAGTAAGCACAGTCCTGTCAATTAACATATCTTCTATGGAGGCATTCATTATACCTCATGCATATTCCACAATCTTGATTTTTTTTTTTCAGAGAAAGGATTTATTTCATATTACAGGTTATAAAACATCATTGATGGCAGTCAGGACTGGAACTCAAGCAGGTACTAAAGCAAAGATCGTGGAGGAACATTGCTTCCTGGCTTTTTCTCCGGCTTGCTTGACTCACTTTAGTATTGGTTGCCTAGTTGGTTTAAAACCTACTCAAGAAGTGGGAATCATGCCTTGTACTGGAAATCTAGCTAACTATTCGGTGATGGCTATTGGAGGAGAACCTATAACCACTCTTTTACTAAACCAGCCTAAATGTTAGATTTCAGAGATGCTGCCAGGATAAATCAAAAAAGTTTACTGTATAATATATATATATATATATATACACACACACATACATATATTCTCATCATTAAACTTTAAAGAATGTACACTAACAGCAGGCATTTATAGGGTACTGTAGCAGACCCTGTTACCATAGTAGTGCAGTGTCTCAAAGCATCTTAGGAAACTGAGGCCTACAAAGGAGGTCCTTTTTCTCCTACAGAGGTGCTGATGGATGGCCTGCTGATACAGTCATGGTTTCAGGGTGTGGCTCCCCACTGTATTGGCTGGAACTTCAAATTCATGAGGCAAATGACATGGGTGCCCAGGTCCAGTGAAGTATAAACAGGCTTACTCAGTCTTAAAGCATCTATTATTTCATTTTCCTCACTGAAGATGCCTGATAGCAATGATAATTTATCTCTAGAGCCATCTCCCTCTTCTAATCCTTACCTAAATCCTTTTAATGAAAATACTTTCTTTCCTTTACCCGTACAGGTTAGGATGTGTGATTGCACCACAGCTCGGTACTAGCGAGGATAATTGACGCTTGCTTAGCTTCTGGTTGCTCTTCTGTCCTGGCGTCCTGAAGGAGCAGCTGTGGAAGGTAGCCAGCTTGTGAGCTCAGTGTTGGAAGTCTCTGGAGGCTATGGATAGCCATAATGATTTCTAGATGCTCAGTGAGACCCTAGACTAATATTGGGTATTTCTGCTTTACTACATTTAAATGACTGTCTCTCCTTGTTCTTCTTGGCATTATTTGTCTTTAGGTCTCCTTTTGATTTTATCTGGAGGCTACAAGGAGTTGCAGACAATTTCTGTGTTTCCTTAAGATCTGTCACAGTGCCAGAGATTCTCAAATGCATCCCCTTGGCTACATTACCAGGGGGATCACATTGCAGATCATTCTTAATGGCTACTTTTGCCATGGGTTGCAACCTCTGTGCTTGGTTGGTTTTCTATCAGAATTCTTTCTGCAATAAGGATGCATAAAGCATATTCTCATGATTATTTGGCTCCCTAGTTGAAGACTCTAACGTCTCTGTGGCTCCAAAACTAGTGACTCTTCTCATAAAATGTAAAATCAGCAAAGGAAACTGGATAAACCAGGAACTCCAAATATCATTCCATTAATTAGAAGGCACATGCTTTCCTGCAGTATTTTATTATTTTCCGATAGCATTCTGTAGGCATTGGGAATGAAATGGCAGAGTGAGGATGGATCTTAGATGTCGTAAGAAAATCGTAATATCGCTGTGTTGAGGATTTGATGTACAGGAACTGAGAGGTCTTCTCTCAGTTCTGTAGAAGAGGTGTGAGCTGAAACATGGAGCTGGCCTAATAGTCATAGATTCTTCCATCTGCCTCCTGTGCTGTAGAGAGACTGTGGCTCCCACTTCCAAGATGCTTTGTATCTTAAGATGGTTCCTAGAGACCTGGCTTTGAAATCTAAAGTCCACATGTCAGGAAGGAGGATTGGCTAGAAAGGCAAAAAGTTCACACTTGTCTCTTTTTTCATCCGTTTTTGAGCAATGCATCTTTGAAGTAAGATCCAGCAATATCCATTTAATGTCCACTGACCAGAATGAGTCACATGTATATACCAGCCTGAAAGAGAAGCTAGGCAATGCTGCATTCAGCTGGATGCTCCTCTATGAAAAAAAAATCACGATGAACCAGGCATGGTGGCACATACTTTTAATCCCAGCACTTGGGAGGCAGAGGCAGGCAGATCTCTGTGAGTTCGAGGCTAGCCTGGTCTATAAAGCAAGATCCAGAACAGCCAAGGCTACACCCAAAGAAATACTGTCAAAGCAAACAAACAAACGAACAAACACCCCCCCTCCCCAAAAACCTCAAAATGGCATCATATAATAGGCCATTTTCTGCTCTTTTTAAAAAAATTTTATTTTATTTTATTAATTACACTTTATTCCCAAATCAGATTTTTCCCCCATAAGCCCCTCCCTCCTCCCCTCCCGATCCCACCCTCCCTTCCCCTTCTTCACACATCCCCCTCCCCAAGTCCACTGATAGGGGAGGTCCTCCTCTCCTTCCTTCTGATCTTAGTCTATCAGGTCTCATCAGGAATGGCTGCATTGTCATCTTCTGTGGCCTGGTAAGGCTGCTCTCCCCTCAGGGGGAGGTGATCAAAGAGCAGGCCAATCAGATTGGGTCGGAGGCAGTCCCTCTTCCCATTACTATGTAACCCACTTAGGCACTAAACTGCCATCATTTTCTGCTCTTAACAGGTTTGCACTTGCTCAGTTGGTTCTGAGTGTGTGTGTGTTGGGGGAGCAGAAGTTGATATCCGGTGTCTTTCTCAGTCCTCTCTGACCCCAGGTTGGAGCCTCTCACTAAACCTGGAGCTAACCAACTCAGCTAGACCTGTCTGGCCAGCAAGCCCCAAAGATCCGTCTGTCTCCGCCTCTCCATGACTGTTTTTTTCCTGTGGTTTCGGGGGAGCCATGATCAAGCACTCATGCCTATGTAGTAAGCCCTGTCTGCAGCCTGTGATTATGGCTATTTTATTCTTTTTATTAGCAAGCATTTAACTCTGCAGGATAATTGGTTTCACTTTCACACACATACACCATGTATTTTGACTTTTTCACACACACACACACACACACACACAAAACGTACCTTGCCATTTCATGCACATTGTATTTTGCCTTTTCTGTACACTAATGTATTTTGCCATTTTCAGACATATAATATTTTGACATTTTTGCATATACAACTTATTTTGCCATTGTCACACACACACAAGGTATTTTGACACATACATAATGTCTTTTGACACACACACACATACCCCACTGTACTCTGATTGTATCCCCTTTCCTTCTTCTTATTGTTGCTGACCCCAGTTTCTTCCTTTCCATCTTGCTCTTCCTCTACTTCTACACCATATGTTTTGGTGACCCAGTGAGTTTAGCTAGTGTTGCCTTCAGAAGCCTAGGGGTGGGGCTTAGCTGCGGAAGCAGAGGTAGCTTACTGTTGGCTACACCGCTGAAGCAACCCTCTTCACCAATATCCAGGCATCAATGCCAAGAAAGCCTCAGGAAAGGGGAAGAGAGCCTTCCCAGTGGGCCCCTCTTCCCTCCAGTGATTGACAGTTATAGTCAGTATTATTTGGACGCACCGTCTTTCTATCTCAGTCTATTATGATTTGCATATATTTAGCTTGAAGAAG